TATTTCTCTTGAATAGCATTTAGAAATTACAGTTTTGGTAAAAATACATTCATTTGGCATATATATAATGTACAAAATTTATTTTCAAACCAATCTTCCTGTCTGCTTTTGTTGAGATAGAAACATAATGTATAGCAAACAGTATTGATGTAAGGACTATATTTGGGTGACAGCAATGTCATTAAAGTGCAAATGCATCGTTACATTCTCGAAAACATTAATGCGCATGTTAAACTTGCATGTCTGTCTGTCATTAAAACTGGTGGAAGAGAAATCTATACTAATATAATCAGTATATTGATATAGGAAACGACATTTAACAAGCATATTCTAGCTAATGCCTTCACGCTTCAAGTTTTGAGAATGAGAATTTCAAATGTATGCTTACATATGCTGTGTATGCTGTCTTGCTCTTCTGAAATAAAAAAAATAGTCATACATACTTTTTTTAATTGTTTTCCTTTGAAATAATCGATTTTATAGGGACTTAAAAGACGCATACACAAAACATTAAAACAAAATACAAGATACATAATTTATTTATCCAACGTATTATCAGAATTGGGGACTGCAATGGCACCTCTGCAAATTTGCTTTTTCCCTTTCGTTCTACAATTTTTTCCACAAACTGGTGTTAAATGGTTTTTATCATTCATTCCTTCAATATGAAGTTTGTTTTCAATGATAATCTTCAACATTTTATCATGCAATTTGATGGTTAATTCGATTAACCAAGTCCTATGAATTTTTATAGATAGATAGATAGATATAATTTATTGACGTATACATATTTGTACATAGTCACAATAAAAAACACGTAATACATAAATCATAAGTCATGGTACGATCATATTGAAAACAAACATTGTTAAACAAAAGTATATATGGAGAATGTTCTTAAATCCATATTTAAACAATACAAAGTTGGCATTACTCTTATTAAAAAGTTGCAAAAATGACTTTCATATATTTAATATGTAGTGAATCAACGATTAAAATTACATGATAAATACCATACTGTCGCTTTTTAATGAGCAAAATTATCATGCGCATACTGGTAAAAATAGTCTTTAATTGGTAATATTAATAAGGTCATATCGACGCTTAGTAGCAAAGATGATGTATTTAGCAAGTCCAATTAATTCGGATTTTTTTTTTGACTTCAAAAGCTGCAAAAATTTAAACATACTTCGGCCTCTGTAAAAATATGGCTTAATGAACTCCCTACGTAATGCAGTATAACAAATTGCAAATGATAATAAAATGAAATTCATCCTCAATTTTTCTTGAAGATTACATAATGCACATTTTCTTTCAGAACGTGGATTTCTATTAGGACCATACCTCTCTGCCTCTATCTTTAATTTATGAGAAGATAATCTAATACGAGATAAATTTTGTCTGTAGGATTTAATGAATAAATTATCAAGATAAAATGCAGGTTCAAATTTGTCAATCAAATGTACATACAGATTAGACAAAAGTGGACTAGACTGAATGTCTGCATTTTACCTTTTGTATAAACAATCAACTAATCTACGTTTGAATATTTCAACAAACTCTTTTGGGCTGTATTGCAATGGGTTGAGCCATACATCTGTGAATCCATATTCATTTAAAATAGAATGAACCTTAGCTGCCCAGGAGTTATATCCATTATCATGAAGACTTATTGATGAATAAAAAGTAGACTTTAAGATATTATTATTTGAATGAAGAATATGTAACCAGAATCTTATTATTTGAACATATCTTTGAACATAAAGAGGATATCGGCCTAACTCCGAATAAACTGCTGCAGTACATGTACTGTGTTTTACGCCAAACAATGACTTGCAGAATTTCAAGTGAATCCTTTCTATATCCTTAGATTTTGTAAAACCCCATATTGCACAAGAATAATTTAATGTTGAGGAAACAAATGCATCAAAGAGTTGGAGTGAAACGGAAGGGGTCACATCATATTTGTTAATATTACAAAGTAAAACATTTTGGGCTTTCATAGCTTTTCCTATAGCATACTGATTATGAAGTTGAAAAGACCCCGTATAATTAAAGACTACACCCAAATAGTTGAAGTTATCAACAGTCTCTAATAAAGTATTGTCGTATGACCATTTTTCATTTTCTCTGATGCTTCCCCTCTTCCTAAAAACCATTGTTTTAGTTTTATCTGTGTTGACCTCTAGGCCCCATTTATCACAATAAAGCTTTAAATTATTTAGATTCGATTGCAATTCTTCAATTGACTTTCCAAATATGACCATATCGTCGGCAAAAAAGTAAAATAATCATACATATATCATAAAAAGTGAAACCCTTATCGTTATTACTATCATCATTCCTTAAGTATTGTTCCAGATCTTCCAGAAATAAAGCAAACAAAATCGGTGAATTATTTTGGCCCTGTCTTAGACCAATAGAAATATCAAAAAAGTCTGACAACGTATTACAGTGCTTAACACAGGAAGACACCGAAGAGTACATATCTCTAAAAATCCTGATCAATTTACCATCTAGTCCGAGATTAAAAAGTTTATACCAAAGAGCATTACGATAGATTGAATCGAAGGCTTTTTTAATGTCAATAAAACAACAATAATGTAATATTCTTTGTATATCTTATATACTATTAAAGTTGGTCCATGCGATTCACAAATGTGAATATAATAAGAGAAAAGACACAAGTGTGTTCTAGTCAGTTTTATTATCTGGACTGATGCATTGGCGGGAAATCTCCCAGGATATAACATTCTACAGGCACAACGTGGTCAGTGGAAATTTACAGAAATGAGTATTAAGGTTAAAGGTCATATGAATATAAAATAACTCAATATCATTACATTTCCCTCTTTTTAAATACATAGCTGAATGGTATCCACATGTTAATAAATCATAAAGGAATATGGTTCAATTTAAAAATAACGTTAGAATAACACATGTTTAAATATCAATTAAGTAATCAGTTTATATAAACAAATATATGTTTATCAATAAATGTATGTGTTTATTCCAGTTTATATATTTTTTTCTTTATTGTTTATTTTTTTGTTTGTGATGTTTTCTTATTAGTAAACACTCAGTATTTTTTTTTTCAATTGTTCACATGTTCTCATTATAATATCGTTTGTTCAATTTCACTTCCCTGCCTGATCGTGTGTGATAATAGTGGTCAATTGGGCTGGGCTTATTGGAGGTCAATGAGTGGTCAGCATTGTGTGATTCTGAAATTTTTCCATTAGTTGAGGGAGTGATAGGGTTATTAGCCAAAATGTTGGGGGAAAATTCCTGAATTTCTGGGAAAGTTTCTTCAGTTTTATTAAGCATTCGCCTATTTCTGCGGTAAATGCCACCTGCATGAGTTATTACAGAGTAGGATCGGTCATTGTGAATTTTTATCACTTTTGCTGGTTCCCATGTTTTGTTGACCTTGATGCGGACATACTCATTAAGTGTAAGAAGGGGTAGTTGCTTTGATGTTTTATCATAGCAACTTTTTTGTTTCTGCTTTATTTTTTGCATCTTTTCGCGTACCTGTTTACAATTTACTGTTTTGGGTTGTAACTGAGAATTTGTGGTAGGTAGAATAGATTTAGTTCTTCTACCCATTAGTAATTGATTTGGGGAGAAGCCACATTCAAGAGGAGTGTTTCTGTACTCAAGTATCGCGAGATAAGGATCTCGGTTACTCTCCTGAGCTTTCCTGAATATCCGTTTAATAATCGACACTGTTTTTTCGGCCAATCCATTACTGTTTGGGTGGAGTGGGCTGGATGTTATGTGGGAAAACCCCCAATCTTTTGCAAAATCTGAAAATATTTCAGAAGAGAATTGTGGCCCATTATCAGTGACAAGTTTGTCACAACTGCCATACCTTGCTAAGTGAACTTTTAGCTTTCTAATTATAGTAATGCTTTGTGTGTTAGGTAGAGCATCTACCCCAAAGTATCTACTATAGTAGTCGACAGTCAGCAAGTAGTCCTTACTGTCAAAGGAGAAGAGATCAGCGGCAATGTTTTTGCCAAGGTCGGTCCGGCACGTCGTGGGGAGTTAATGGTTCTTTTGCGTTGGAATACCTGTACTTTTGACATAAAGCACATTTTAAAACATGATTTGTGATTTCTTTTGTCATACCAGGCCAAAACATTACGTCTTTAGCCCTTTGTAAACATTTTTCTACACCCATGTGACCTTGGTGCACTGATTCAATCACCTGTTTTCTTGCAGATACAGGTATGACGATTCTCTGTCCTCTGAATATAAGGTCATTTACAGACGAAATTTCGTCCCTGTGGTTCCAGAACTCAATTATTTCTTGTTTACAGTCTGCACGTGAAAACTGGCCATCCGTCAATAATAGTTCTCTTCAGAATCTGCATGCTCGTGTCATTTTGAGTTTCATGCCTGATTGATTCCAGTCTGTTATCGGTTATGTGTAACCCTTTCAACACTGTATGTACATGTAAGTCGAGACCCTCTAATTGTAATGTCTCTGGAAGCGGTTGTCTAGAAAGTAAGTCACTGATTGGTACTTGTTTTCCAGGAACGTGGCGTACGTCAAGGTCATATTTTGATAACTGTAACCGCATTCTTTGAAGTCTCGGTGGACATGCAGACAAACTTTTCAACATGATTGAGCTAATAGGTTTGTTGTCGCAGTGTACAATTACATGTCTACCGTATACATACTGATGGAAGCGCGTGCAACCAAACAGTATTGCTAACATCTCTCTTTCTATGTTAGCATAATTAGATTCAGTCTCTCTGTCAATGTCCTAGAAGCGAAGGCAACTGGGCGGCCATTTTGGATGATGGCTGAGCCGACCCCACGCATCGAAGAGTCAGATTCAAGAGTTACACTCTGTTTTGGGTCAAAGTATGCAAGAACAGGGGTACTTGTGATTATGTTTTTCATTTTCGTAAATGCTTCTGTCTGGGAAAAATCCAAACAAATTCTACATCTTTTTTTAGTAGGGATCTCATGGGGCTTGTGACCTCTGCTAGGTTTGGAGAGAATTTTTGCAGATAATTTGCCATACCAAGAACATTTTCAAGTTGCTGTCTATTTTCTGGTTTTTGAGGTTCATAATTGCCTCTATTTTACTAGGATCTGGCTTTAACCCTGTTGATGTTATAAGGTGACTAAAGAATGGGACTTCATTTACCCCGATTATACATTTGTCCGGATTGAACTTTACTCCCTTGGAATGTGCTCTTTCAAGGGCGTTACGCAAGTTTGCGTCATGTTCTTCACGTGTCTTCCCATATATCAAAATGTCATCTACTATGGCTGTTAGACCCTGCAATCCTTCAAAAATTTCATCTACTTTCTGCATGAATATGTCACTCGATGCAGATATGCCATATGGGAGTCTTAACCAACGGTATCTGCCGAATACCGTGCTGAAGGTTGTTAATAATGAAGACTGTTCATCAAGTTTGATGCTCCAGTATGCGTGTGTAATGTCAAGAATGCTGAAGTATTTTGCATCAGTCAGTCTTGATGTAACGTCGTCAATAGTACGCATTGGGTAGTGAGGTCGCCTTATAGCCTCATTTAAAGCTTTTGGATCAAGGCAAACTCTGAGTTTACCTGTCTTTGGTTTTTCTACAATGACTAGGGAGTTCACCCAGTCCGTGGGTTCAGTGACCTTAGTTATTATTCCATCACTCTCCATGCGCTGGAGTTCTTCGTGAAGCCTGTCCCTTAAAGCTTCCGGCACTCGCCTAGGTGCGTTTATTACAGGAACAGCATCACTCTTAATGTGAAGTTTACATTCACCTGGGATAACCCCTACACCTTGGAATAAGTTCCCATACTCTGACATGACCCTTTGTTTATCTAATTCTGTATTTGACCTGTCTATTGAATAGGTGAGCTTTATCAGGCCTAAGTTAACAGACGATTGTAAACTTAGCAGCGGGACTGTCGGACTATCAACAACATAACATAATGACTCGCTAGTCTTGTTGTTGTAGCGCAATAACAGATTTATTATACCGCATACAGGTAACATGTTGCCTGTGTACGATGTTAATCTATTTTCTGCGATTTCAAGAGGTTGTTTTATCTTTAATTTCTCATAATGGCTCAATGGTAGAATATCTACCGCGCTCCCAGTATCTATCTTAAATTTAACAGGAATATGGGAAGGACCGACATTAATTGGAACAAAGGCACGATCAGGAGTAGAAGATGAAAATTTTACCATATCAACGTAATAATCCTGATTTTCCGATTGAACGTTGTCACTATAATTGTATTCAGAATATTTCACATTGTCAACGTTTTTATTTCTAGATCTGCAAACGCTTGCAAAATGATTTTGCTTTCCACATGCGTAACACGTTGAATGTTCAGCTGGACATTTTGACCCTGGTCTATGAGTGTTCTGTCCACATCGTTGACATTTCAGTGGTTTTCTTCCATCTTGTTTTTGAATGTTATGATAATTTCTGTGTTGTTGTTGTTGTTGTTTAGGTTGCTGAAATGGTTGGTTCTTGTATCCTTTATGTTTTGATTTGTGCTGCTTAACCAGGTGTACATCATTAGCTGCTGCCATTGATTGAAGTTGTTTTCTGTGCATATTCGTGTGCTTGTGCGATTTGAATAGCATTTTCGAGTGTTAATCCTCGCCTTTGTTTATCAACTTCTCTCGCACTTTTCCAGAATTTGTCCCAAAAAACAATTCTGTCTCTGATCATTTCGTCCTTGTCTTTAAAGCTGCAATCTGCTGCACTTAGTCTTAGTCTTGTGATGAAGGCATCGATACTGTCAGTGCCTTGCACTTCATTGTTAAACTTGTACCTCGCAAATATCGGGTTCAAGGACGGCTGCACATGTGCTTTGAACTTTTCATAATAAGTCTGAAGATTTTCAGCATCATCGCCAGTGAAGGGCTCCCATGTAGCGTGAATGTCCCTGCCTTGTCACCGACCCATATCAACAAATATGATATTTTTTTTCTTAGTTTTGTTCTTGAGCGGCCCTGTAAACATCAGTTCAACATGCCTTTGGAATTTAATCCATTGTTCAGGAAGATTTGACGCTTCCCAGTTTATAACTGGCACAGAAAGTCCTGTTAATTCCATATTTTGTTGTCTTATATTCCAACTATAAATTCTGACACCATGTAATATTCTTTGTATATCTTATATACTATTAAAGTTGGTCCATGCGATTCACAAATGTGAATATAATAAGAGAAAAGACACAAGTGTGTTCTAGTCAGTTTTATTATCTGGACTGATGCATTGGCGGGAAATCTCCCAGGATATAACATTCTACAGGCACAACGTGGTCAGTGGAAATTTACAGAAATGAGTATTAAGGTTAAAGGTCATATGAATATAAAATAACTCAATATCATTACAAATAAAGACGTGAATTTTGAGATAGTATTCGTTCCACTAAAGAGTGCAAAACAAAAATTGCATCAACGGTGCTTACACCTGAACGAAAACCGAATTGTGCGTCAGACTGTATATTGTTATCACGCGCCCAATTTTCAACCCGTTTTGTTAATACCTTTGTAAATAATTTACCAAAATTGCTAATTAATGTTATTCCTCTATAATTATTCGGTACCCCGTTATTTCCCTTTTTAGTTGGGACGTAGTCCCAACTAGTGCACTTACAAACCCGAAATTTCCAACCATACAGGGTAACGCCCACTGCTGTGACGTTTCATCGCCACTCTATATGCTATATTGTATTCTAACATATCAACGTAAGCTGAATTCATAGTGATCACCCGACCATGACCGACGCATAACCGCCGCGAGTGAAAAATAGTGCTCTGAATTTCTGAAAACTTTGATTTATTGCGAACAGAAGAGGAGACAAGAAATTTATTTTTTGAAAATAATGTGCAATTGAGCTTGAATACGGTATTAGAAACGTAGCGGATACAATTTGAAAGGTCACATAATTCTATGAATGGGATAGTAAATTAATTGGGTCATAGTGCTTGACGGCTTGCAATATTTAACTTACTCATCCGCCTTATCATCACATTTTTTTGTATTATATTCCAGAAATTTTTGAAAAAGACATTATTTATCGGATAAATTTTGTAGTTTATAATTGCAAAGTGGATATTGAAATAGAATTAGCCAGAGATGTAGATAATCTATTCGTCTCTGAATTAGCCGATAATTAGGTTAAATGAATCCGACAACTTCCGGTATATTTTTTGACCTACTTCACGAGCATAATTATCAGCCTGTTAAGCTCATAAGGTAAGTTATAAAGCAAAATATGTTATGAATTTGATGAATAATAATATTAAGTTTATTTATTGATGCCAATTTGTTTCCGAGGACTAAAACTTTCGTAAATAATTTCGAAGTAATTTGGAGATCTCGAGTCTTTCGTACCCAAGACATTTCGATCATACTTAGAGTTAGACTGCAAATCGACAGATTTTACAAATTGATATTACACAGATGTCTGCCTTTACAGGAAAACCGGCATATATGCCTACAATTTTTTGGTCTTGTCACGGCCGTTACGTCTCTACCAAATGGGGCACATTCTTGAATATTTCAGAATAATTTTATTTTGACCTTTATAAATTATTATATCTATATCTATTTAAAGTCTAGCCATTTCATTTTGGGTCATCTTTTTACAATTTGAATAATTATTCTGGAAAAACAAAGTGCGCAAATGATCTAAAAGGTTTGTACAAAGATTAGTGTTCTAAACATTCATCAAATGGTACATTTATCTGGAAAAAATATTTCAGTTCCATCATGACAAAATACCTCAATGGAACCCCTTTAAATTGAATTACACTTTTTTTAAATGTATGGGTAAATTCCATTTTCAGTGGTTGAAATTTTTCCTCTTTTCTCATTAATCAAGCTATAGTTTCCCATTTATAAAGCCACAGGTTGTTTTGAAAGTTGAAAAAAAAATCACTGCCACCTTGATAATTGTTAACCTGAAAAATCTTCAGGCACTTAAAGGGATTTGAACCCCAGACCTCTTGATTACAAGGCAGACACACAACCATGTCGCGAAAATGTCAACACAACAGCAAGACTGTTGGAAATGATCTATACCTGTTCTCAATACATGGTTGAAGTAATTTATCAGTGTTTAAATTAGACATTTTATATGATTTAACAATTTTTGACACTACTGATATTCACATTTTTTTCACAAATCTACATGTAAAAAATAAAGATCATAATAAAATGATAGAACATTTTCTATTTTAGTGGTAATACTGTGGAGTAATATGAAGAAATATATATTAATGTTTTATTATCATAAATTTTTCAAATTTTAATTATGTCATTACATGCTGTACACAATCATATTATTGTGTAAACATATATATACATTGTATAGACACATATATACATTGTATATACACACACTAAGAGAGTAGTATTAGATGAATTTGAAAATGAAATCTCTAAATTGATATTTTCAGGGAAATAAAAGATCATTTACTTTAATATTCACTTGGAAAGGCTGGTACATGTAGCTAGAAAAAAGTACAGTATAAGATTAAACAAAGACTAGAAGATTATTACAAACAACAGGTACTTATATAATATTTAATGTATATTTCACAAACCAAACTGTTTTCCAAAAAAAAATTAATGAAAACAATATTTGACCTAGTCATAAGATTGACAGAACAGTGGCGTGTGGGGGCATCCGTGTCCTATGGACACATTTCTAGTTTCACTTATATACTATGTAGAAATTTTGTGAACGCAACTCCTCTTAAACCGGATGGCAGATTTTGCTTAAACTTACAGGGATGAACAACCTTCAGGTGTAGATGGTAGTAAAGGAAAGAATTTTTGCTGCGACCAAATTTTACAGAATTATGGCCCTTTGTTGATTTTTTCACGATAATTACTATGTAGAAATTTTGTGAATGCAACTCCTCTTAAACCGGATGGCAGATTTTGCTTAAACTTCCAGGGATGAACAACCTTAATGTGTAGATGGTAGTAAAGAAAGAAATTTTTGCTGCAACCAAATTTAACAGAATTATGGCCCTTTTTTTATTTTTTCATTATATACTATGTAGAAATTTTGTGAACGCAACTCCTCTTAAACCAGCTGGCAGATTTTGCTTAAACTTCCAGGGATGAACAACCTTAATGTGTAGATGGTAGTAAAGGAAGGAATTTTTGCTGCGACCAAATTTTAGAGAATTATGGCCCTTTTTTGATTTTTAGTTTTCAACTTGTGGCACATGTAGTCCAAAAAATATTTGACCTAGAGTCATAAGATTGACAGAACAGTGGCTTGTGGGGGCATCCCCGTGTCCTATGGACACATTTCTAGTTTTCTTCTTAGTGTGCCTTTATTGCTAAGATCTATTTAATTGACAGACTGTTTTTAAAGTTTGAAGGGATAATCTTTGAAACATTCAGATTGGTTATTAAACTAACCATTATTTACTTTATTTGTAGCCAATAAGTAATTATACCTTTAAATTGTATGCCGTCGAAACAAATTAATTGTATACTGTCTGAATTGTATACACACCAGTCTCTCACAACGCATTACTCACCCCAAATGAGGGTAAAAATAACTCTGACATAAAGAAGTCTGCGTAGGGATGACAATTTTATTAATAAAACACAATATATTGTTCATTGCTCATTGTTTTTCAGAGTTTAATATTGCAAGTGCAAATTTGATAGTTCCACTGTGTTACTATGTATTAAAATATTCAAAACTACTTTCACTTTCGGTTTTAATTTAAACTAACAATTGACGAAATACGAGTGTTGAACGAATACCAATAAAGGATTGTCAGAAGGAGTGTTTTGCGCATGTTTTGAGTAAAAATGATGTAAAGGCTATTACACACAAACAGAGTATGGAAAAAGTTTAAATTTTCAAGTGGCCTGATTTCCGTTTTGTTCTATCACTTCGGTGTTAAAGCCGCCATGTAAAAGTAGTGCGTTCCATCATGCTTAGAGTGGTTTCACACAGGTCAGTAAGACCGGTGTACACAATGTACTGTCTGCACATATGTGTCAGAAAAAATATCACAAAAAAGGAATTTAGTATTACTATGAGTATTTATTAAAGAAATTGTATTTCAAATATATTTAAATAGTATTATTGAAAGTCATTTTGTATGACAGACACACAAATCTAGTGCTCTGCATTATAAATGTAAGAAGAGACAAATAAGATAAGCATTTTTTTGCAAATTATTGCACTTCATATAATTTTTATTGCTTTTTTTTAAGGTGGACATGTGTCACTGTCAAGCGAATGAAGATAAGCATCACACTCGGTGGGAATCTCCAGTTTCCAGATGTAGTGATCATAACTGTATAGGCACCACTTAACACTTTGGACTAGTTGGAGTATTTTAGAGGGCTAGTCTGAATTGAATCCCCTGTCAATAGTAAAGGCCAGTCATGAACATTGTGTTAAAGGAAAATGTTAAAACTCGGATTTCCCGCTTAACCAATCATTACTTTACCTTATATTCAGTGCGGTAATGTAGGAAATGGTTACTTTCTGGAACGGAGCTGTCAATTATTTTTAATTTTTTAGCTTGTTAGTGTTATCGTCGGACAGTTGTGAAGTAAA